CTCATATGATGTTATAGCTAATGACAAGAATTTGATAGACTAGTTAGTATAGTTACATTAAAGTTAAGTTTGATAGCTCACTAGATACACAAAGACTGATACATCCAGTCAACACAAGACACCAGTAGATACCAGTAACAGTAGCCATTAGTAAGAGGAATGAGAGCTGAACCGTTAGACTATATAAACAATAAACTGTTTATGATGCACCACTAACACTGCCACACCTGCAATAACTATAATTTTAAGTGATGCTTTTTATGCATTATATGGAAAAACAGTAAATTGTATACAAATTGAATTATTATACTTATCAAATGTATAGGCATGATTGAAACATCCAGCTAATACCGTATAGGGGGTATACCTTAGGGTAGGTATTAATTGCGCTCTTAAATTTTAGCGTTTTTAAGGGGACCCTGATTTAGCGAAATGTAATATTAGCGAAAATAGGAAGAAAATCAATGGTAAAACCCCCATTCAATAGCATAACACAACTCAAGAAGCCCAATCTATACATTTAAGAGCAGAACACTTAACAGGACCACCCTATCTACTGTTATCTTGTTACAGATCTTGCCTATCTTGTGTACTTGTTTACACAAGTACATAATAACTATTATTAGCGAGTGGTTGAATTAGCGATTTGAAGTACACTCGCTAAAAACGCTAAAATTAAGTGTCGCAATTAATACCCACCCTAAGGTATTTCATCAGGGATATGTGCGCGTAGAAGTCTTTCACAGTTTGTTTAGCACCTTCTTTGACCTGTTTAAACATCAATAGCCACGATAAGTTCTGGCCATCTCATACAAAGACTCTCTATATAACTCTCTGGCACTTCAATGCACAGATATGGTTATGTCGATCTACCACCCCCCCCCCATCAGTGGTAGATGGCTTCATTTAACTTTGTTTTTATTGTACATGTAGTTTCTCTTTCTGTTATTTTGTTTCTTTTTTCTTTCTATGTACAGGGTCCTCCTTTTTTGTCCCCCTTTTGTCTGTTTTGTGTTTTTCTTATAATAATAATAATAATAATGATAATAATTGAGCCGCTCCCCTATCCTTCCACCCGATGTGGATGGGCAGGTCTGACTCTTTCTTCTTTCCTTATTATTAGCTTTTTAAAATACATGTATAGTTTCCTTGTTTTATTTTTATTTTATTTTTTCCTCATAGGGCCTTCCCTCTCCTTTCCCTTTTTTGTTTTTCTCTATTATTAGCTCTAATTAGTTCTTGTTTTTGGGTTTATAATAATAATAATAATAATAATAATAATAATAATACTAATGCTAAAATTAATGAACTGATTTCATACAAAAAACAGTTAAAGCATATTCACACTGACTTAGAATATTAACAATAATGAGATCTCAGAACTGCAATTTTTTATCTAGCTATGCTTGAATGAACTGCAATACTTAGTTGAGGTTTCAGGCTTCGAGTTCCAGCTGAGTGAATAATAATGAATAATTAGTACCAATAATAAGATCATTAATAGTTATATAAGTGTTGTCAGTAGTCCTTGATCCTTTATGAGTATTGTTACTATTAATAGTAACATTATAGTGGTCTATACATGGACCTGATGGTGTATTCCAAGTAATAATTAATGTATCATTAGTGATAGGAGTAACAGTTATATTAGTAACTGGTGTTGTTGGTGGACCTGTACAAATGATATGCGTGGTACACTGATGTACATACATTACAACATACCTGCTATGTTAATAGTTAATGTAGCAAAGGTTACTACATCAGCTGAACAACCAATAGTAGTTTCATTCAATTCTACTGGAACTGGAGGATTAGTAGCAGTACTAACTAGTACATCCACATTAGTTGTATTACCAAAACTGGTAATATTTAATGTGAAATCATCAAGTGTAAGAATTATTCCACCATAAGTTAGAGTTGAAGCTTTTTTTTATTATTCCTTCTCCATGCTACTCCTCCTCCTGTACTTTCCACCACACAAGTGAACACCAGTCTATCTCCAGGACACACAGGCCCACTAGGACTGCTCTGATTGAATGATATACTTTGTCCTTTTACTATATGAAACCAAAATTATTTAACAATTATAGTCCACCCACTTTAGTTTAGACTCACCAGATACAACAAGACTCAAAGTACATCCAGTCAATACAAGACACCAGTATATACCAGTAGTAGTAGCCATCAGTAAGAGGAATGAGAACTGAACAGTTTAGAACAGAGTTTAGTTTATGATTATGATGTTATTCTATACACTCACTGCCACACCTTAACATGATAACATTCATTGATAGCATGTGCATTATGAATGAGAAGACAAGGAATGATGAATTACCGTATAGCTAGAAATTTCTGTGGCCCAAAATTTCTGCGAATTGCCAAAAAATGGCTTTTGCGGATTTTATTGTTGCGAATTCACTTGATCACACTACTGATCAATGGCTGCTCTTCACTACTTACCAGAACTATAGTTGATGATGACACAAAGCTCTATCAGGATATTAGGCAAGATAGGATTACTCTTTACATACGTACCAATAATGAATGAATGGATCATTGAAATACTGACTGGTTGTCCTACATAAAACAATAGAGCCAGTATAATATGATATGATACACACACTACCATACAACTTGAAATATCCTGGGCTAGTCTTCAATAGCTGTACCTATAATGAGAATAATAATTAACAAACCCCTTACCAGACCCAGGGATGGAAGGAGTGAGGGAGGTCTGGAGGAGTGGTGGTAAAATGGTGGATACTACAAAGAAGAGGTTAGTTCAATAGATGCTTTACCAATGGAGGCTGAGGGAGGAAGAGAAAGAGAGTGTGTGTCTCCTGCTAGTCTCGCCCCGCCCCTTCGCTACCTCCTGCCAGCTCATCTTCAGATCTATGCAAAAACCCCGTGGAGAGGATTTTAATACCCACGTGCAACCACGTGGGCATAATTAGGTGGGTGTGGTGACTAGTGGTCTCATGAAATTAATTAGTTTACCAGCTAGTCACGTGAGCTTGCACCATTTTTTTTAATTGGGCGTGGCTGAAAGTGGCATAAAGATGGCTACCGGGTTCAAGAGAGGTTAAGAGAGAAATACAGCAATCTGATGTTTATTTTAATTGTTCCTCTACTCCAGAAATGAAAGTGACCCAAGAAGAGATGGCAGAGGCCAAAGTCCCTCTCAACCTCAGAGATTATTGTGCCCATCACTTCATCCCACTCATGAAGTGTCGTAAGGATAACTACTACCTTCCCTGGAGATGCAAGAAAGAGAAACACGCCTGGGATGAGTGCGAGTTCCAAGAGTAAGTAAAACTGACATGGCAATTTTGCAAAATTTTTCAAAATTCAGATCACAAAAATAATTAAATATATAAGTTCTTCAATTCATTTACATTTTTCTACAGTCCTCTTTCTCTTTTCCTCTTGCTGTGCGTTGAACTTTTCTCAGGTGTTTGCTTCCTAGAAGGTCCTTCTGAGGGTTCTTCTGTGCTACTGTCGCATTCTCCATTGTAGAATTTTTTTAGAACATTTCTTATTTCATCTCTTATATCAGATTCTATAACTTCCTTGACTTTATTGCACCTAACACCATGAGAATCAAAGAAATTAACATGATCGTTGCTTCCTCTAGAGTATGTTATGAAGCTTTTATTACAATGAAGATGAGGATATATGTTTCGAGCTGCTATATACTCTCTATTATCACAGTACATCTTCTGGTAGTTTTTTTTTGCAGCCACTATAAAAAAGAAGATGAGTAAGAGCAATAGTTTCACCTCCATTTTTCTTTCACATGGACTATACTCAACCACGATAAAAATCCCAGCTGGAGATAAGATAACTCCCTCTTTATATAACCTACTCCACGCCTTCTTATGATAATACTATCATTATTATTCAGCTGATAAAGAAGGATGCTTGAGATGCACTGCCAGTTTTAAAAACATTTTGAAAGTTTGAGCCTACAAAAATTATCTTCCTCTTTCACAATTACATTTTTAAAATTGGCACCTTGTTAACACTATGAGGTGTGAACAAGGAAAACTACAAGTTTCTTCCTCCCAAAAAAATTAATATTTATTTAATTATTTTTCTAATCAGTTATTTAGATCGTGTAAGACAGAAGAGACAGCAGCAAGCAGCAGCAGCTGAGGATTAGACACTATCATGAAATATCTTATACTGTTACCCTCTCTATAGACACACTAGTAGCATTTAATACTGATGTTATTGTTATTATTATTGTATGTTAATTTATTAAATGTAATGCATGTACTTTAAACAGTACAAAAGCAAGCAATAATAATAATAATAATAATAATAATAATAATAATAATAATAATAATAAACACAGACAATATTCATAATAAACGAACAGCACACTCATAAAACAATCAATACAACAGATCCAACAACAATAATAATAACAATAATAATAACAACAACATATTATTATTACTATTATACATTTAATATAATATAATTGTAGTTCGATAAAGATATATAACACGGCTAAAACAAAATGGCTTCTTCTATCCAGGCACATCTTCATTAATACATTCCAGTACTACAAAATCATCGGCTTCAGACCAGGTGGACTCTATCAGGTCAAGTGTTCCGTTAGAACTGATGAGACTGAGGGCGCTGGTATCCATCATACTGATCTCTGGGGAAATGATCTCTTTTTGCCGAGTGTTTGAAAATGTGAAGAATGGATACTGACCCTTTTGCATTGGTGGAGCTAGCACCTGTAAAATAATAGATAATAATGATGATGATGATGATACATGTAGGTGTAACAGTAAATGTTACTTTCTCAGCTTCAATTCTAAAATGGTTGAAGTCCTCCAGCGTGTGACAGTAAAAACCCAGGGTACAGGAAGGATCCATTTTTGTAACGGGAATCTTCTTAGGAGACCGACAGTGATACGACTGAGATAAGGAGGAGAGAGGCGAAAGTAAAGACAGAAGGAGTGTGTGTGTGTGTGTGTTTATAAAATTAGTAGCTTTTATTGTTTTGCTTACAGAAACATCAAAATCGGTTCTCGTCATGTTGACAGCTGTTTGTGAATAGTGAGGATCAAGATGAATCAGATTCTCATCTTTTAAAAAGAAAAAAATTATATTAAATGTATTTTATAATTATTAAAAGTTATTACCTTGGAAACCAATGAAGAAGACGGAATGCTTTGGTCTACCACCAATAATACCAACAGTGTGATCCAGAGCTAACAGAGCCTAATATTAATAACCATTCATAATTATTAATAATCATTAATAACTACTAATTACCACTAATAACTATTAATAACACTACCTTAACGCAGGGTATATAGATGGGGTTAAGTGATTCGCTGCCCAGTCTAACTGGCACCAGTACTAATAGCGACTGATCCAGATCTGATTCAAATATATCCTGAACATCTTTAATATATACTAATGGAAGGAGGAGAAAGGTACCCCAGTGGGTAGTACGTGGTGAACACTCCCCCCTTCTTACCTGTACAATCGTGTGACACGTAAATGTTGAGTTTTTGTAAGTTGATGTGTTCTCGTAGAGCCCGGCGAACACAATCCCTGAAGGAAAGAAGAAACAAGGAAACATGAGTAAGCATAGTCTTTTATATATAAGTAACGTTAGTTCCATTGTCACGAAATCCGTGACAAGCAAAAACCCATTAGTTCCATTGTCACGAAATCAGTGACAAGCAAAAACCCATTGGTTCCATAATCACTATAAATCTAGGACTTTGGTCCAATTAGTGCATTACCTTATCAATATTGAGACTTGTGACGGGCCGAACCAATCACCTGGCTTGTTGCCATGGTAATAGGCGGCCTCCATCAACCTGTGTATTGAGAAAGGACATAGCTCAGACTCTGAGTCACCGAACCAGGACAAGATCTAAGAGGAGGAGGGGGAGAGAGAGAAAGAAAGAAAGAAAGAAAAAAGATAATACTAAAACAACGTAATTGTTCCAGTTCTTTACTTGTCTGTGTATTTTGTGTCCTGTTACGTCTGAACTGGATAGTCTCCAATCTAAAGCAAAGAAGAAACATCATCATCAAAATAATCAAAAAATGACCTTATCTTATCAATGACAATCAAAACAAAAAACTACTTTAAAAACAATTATAAAAAAATATAAAAAATTGATTCAAAACTGCATGTACATTATATGATGGGGTTAGTCATTTATTTCCTGTACTGGATATTATCAAAAGTTAGTAGTCTATCAAAAGTCCCATTACAACACTAGTTGGATACTATTTATAATAACATGGATCACAGTTGACCACACTTAATGATAAATAATTTAATTACTAGACCATTAGCTGACCTCTGCCAAGGAAATGAAGATGAAGGACAGTAGCTAGTAGCATCTGACCTGACCTTACCATGCAGCCCCAGCCGCAGTCGGTTGTCAGGGACGACGAGAGGATTGGAGAGAAACCACACCTGTATGTCATCCAGGGGAGAGAGTAGAAGTGATCCATGAACATTAGGATGTGACGAGGTATCCCTTCACTTTGTGGCTTTGTGTCTAAAAAGAGAGAGAAAAGAAAGGCTGATTCAAAGTTGTTTAAGTTCGTGGCCCTACCTCTCTCCGGTATGTACAGTTTTCCTAACACTAGTACAGGAGAATTATTACTAAATTGAATAGTTGAATTAAAGCTCCATCCTAAAAAACAAACAAGTATGTATATAACAATACTTTACATGCATAATACACGTAAAAATACACAGGTTAGTTATACTCACCGTATCTAAACCTATAGAAAGAAGCGTATATCCTTTGCCTTACTGGTACTTCTGCTGGTGAGCTACTACTCCTTATTAGACCGTTCCCTCTCCTCTCTCTCCCTTCTCTTCCGCCTAAACTACTAGTACTAGAGCCTCCACCAGTTGCCATTTTCTGATGACAAGCAAAAGAAAAGGTGAGCCACACCCACTATTAACCACGCCTATTATTGAACGCCCACTTATCAGCCACCCCTCCACTTTATTTCTGCAAGATCATAAAAGAGAATGAATACATTTCTGTTGCTTTTCTTTTCTATTTTATGTTTCGTGACAGGACAAGTTACAACTACAAATCAAAATGGTCATGGAATGACCTGCTGTCCTGCTCCATTTAGTATATACGGACTGGCTAGTGACTTGAACACTTCAACAATATTTCCAGGGAACACTTGTAAGTGGAAGGCTATTGCAATAATTTTTATAAAGCAAGAACAATTACATTGCAGGCTATAATGTGGTTACTTTGATCTATAAGCAGCACTGTATAATCTAAAATAAACATTTCTTTTATTCTGTCTAACATGCTGCTTACAAGTAACATCAAAGTAACCACAGATCAACTGTACTATAGAATTGCTTCATTAAACCTCCTTCCTTTTCTATTTATAGTGAATCTCACTGTTGTAAGCAATGGACGAGCTGAGGAGATATTAACAATACCTGGTGTACAAGTGGAGCTGAATCTAAACACACAAATACTGATACTACCATTACTGGTTGGAGCTAATAAGAATAACATTCAGTTTAATACTACATTCACTTCAGGAAATACCAGTGTTCTATCAGACCCTGTTGTAATACCTAATATCAATATAGCTCCAACTGCTAACCCAATCAGTAAAAATTAACAATTATTATTATCAATTTTAATTCTCTTTTTTTAAAGGGATTCAGATCATATTTGATTGCGTTGGAATACAACAGACTGCAATAGTAGTGACTGTTAATATCACACTGTTTGATTTAGATACTAGAGAACTATATTGTCCCATTAACTTTTTATTTGGGAAAGAATGTCGAGAGAAAGGTAAATAGATTTTGTATACAGCATTTGTAATAAAGCATAAATTAAAAGTATTTTTATAAATGTTTTATGATTGTAGGTAATGTATCACAAGAACAATTACAAGGTATGGCTGACTTTTCAAACTTAAAAAATTGCTTTTTATATCCGGCACAGAGTTTGAAGAAAGACAATATGTTACAGGTGCTACCATTCCTCCGTACACAGTAATGTGTAGCCCTACCGTAACTCCAACACCTTCCAATGGTAAGTACATGCAAAAAACAATAATTGCTTCACATTGAACAGAAAGAAGAACTTTTCTGATCCTGCTACTAGCTGGAGGAGTAGCTCCTTTTCTTGCATTAGTCATTCTGTGTATTGCAATCACATTAGTTTGCTGGTTAGTGAGGTATGGTAGGTTAAAAAAGAAGCATAGACAATTGCTGAGATTGGAGGAGATTGGAGCTGCTTATAATCAAGAGAGGGAGAGATGGAGGCCGAGAAGAGAGCCACACAAGAAAGAGTTCTCACCAGACAAGTTGGAATTAGTTCGTGAGCTTGGAGAGGGAGCCTTTGGAACAGTTTATGAAGGAGAAGCACGAGATATTTTAGAAGAAGGTGTCGTTACACCAGTTGCAGTTAAACAGCTTCGGAACTTAAGTGCAAAGGAAGACTTCTTTCGTGAGGTATCATTCATGTCTAAACTTGATCATGAGAGAGTCATAAAGTTACTTGGAGTCTGCAGTCAAAGTGAGCCTTTTGCCATGATCATAGAGTATATGGATCTTGGGGACTTGTGCTCATTTCTGCGTGACACTGCTCAGCTAAGAGATGAATCCTCTAACACTGATGTACTGGTACCATCTCAACTAGTCGACATTGCACATCAAGTACTTTAAACATCACACTATTTCTTGGTTCTTTATACTTTGCTTTTTATAGATAGCAGAAGGAATGAGGTACATTGCTTCAGTTAATCTAGTGCATAGAGACTTGGCCGCTAGAAATTGTCTAGTATCAACTGGTCTGGTCATTAAAATAGGAGACTTTGGACTGTCGAGAAACCTTTACGACTCGGACTATTACAGGTAATACATGTACACATACCATGCATGCATGTAGTGTAGTAGCCAGCAATTTCACACTATTCTTTATATCAAAACTGTCACTGAGCAATCAATACAGTGATGTAGATTTAGTTCCATAAAAACACGTGATTTTTAGTATGATACATTATTCTCAATCTTCCTATCACAGAGTAGAGGGCTCAACTCTACTACCAATTAGATGGATGGCACCAGAGTGCGTACAGTATGGTAAATTCACTGAAGCAAGTGATGTCTACTCGTTTGGAGTCTTACTATGGGAAACCTTCACTTATGGAGAGCAGCCATACGCTGGTCATTCAAATGAGGATATTGTGAAGATGATCACTACAAGACAGTATCTGGTGATACCCTCAAACGCTGTTCTTGGTGACGTCATGAAGGATTGCTGGCAATGGAAGCCAAAAGATCGGCCATCGTTTAATGAACTTTGTAGTCTATTGAAGACAATACTGCATGACATGAAAGACTGAAAATAATAATAATATTTTATTATAATAATTTATTTTATAATTTAGCAGACAGCTCTAACAACAGCAAATAATATAATTTTTAATTTACAAAAGTTAATAATCAAAAATAAGAATTTTAACAATAATAATTATTATTATGTTATTATTATAGGCTAAATTTGTACAGAAGTTCTGATGAACATACTGAAACCAGCAGTACTAATGTTGAATCTCATTTCTGCATTCTTTTATTCAGTGGGTCATTGTACCACCAAAACTCACCATCAGAATGGAAAAACTACAAAAGCAAAAAAATCCTTAAAACTCCATTCCCATCACTCCATTCCCAAACCTGCTGCTTCCATTCCGTTCCACTCTCAAGTCTGGCCTTGGCATCAGCTCTCTGCTTCTCTTCAAGCTATTACAAAACCCGTCAAACCCCACCCATTAATAAACCACACCTACCTCATGCTTAGCGTCAGTAGCAGCTTCAATATCATTCTCCTTCAGAGCTTCAGTGACCTTCCTCCATCGTCTCTTACTCTCAATTGGTTCCTGTCTCTCTATTTTCTGAAACTTCTTACGGATGGTCGGCATGTTGTGAATATCAGCAAAAACTTCTTCGTCCTAAAGGGGTTGGGTATGTAGGTGTGGTTATAAAGTGGGAGGGGCTTACTCCATTGGGGTACTTGACGTTCATTAGTCCGTTCCATTCGCCGTCAACTTTTAGGAAAGGTTTCTTGTCAGAGCCCTCACTGAATAAATAAATAAATAAATATTAATTTGAGAAACATTGATTCTTACTAAATGTCAGCTGTTACTCTGTGCTTTTTCCCTCCATAAAACGGCTAAAGTGTCATCCATTAAAACAAAGCAGTGGTATAATGGATACTCACTTTGCAATGGAAGTCAATCTCAGAGCGATATCCAGTCTTCTCACATTTGACTGTACACTTACCACCTAACTCCATCCAGGGGTAAGTCAATATAGACCTGTGGGACAAGGGAAAAGAAAAAAAGGAATTTTAAAAAAGAAGGAGAACAGTAGTGCTTGTACATGTAGGAAAAGAATTATAGTGGAGAGATTTAAGATAAAAGGCGGGTAAATTTTTGAATATTTCATTAGTTCCAGCTGCAACTGACCTGGCATAAGCATTGGGAATGTTACACTCATACTCTTCATCATGATCCATCAAATTAAGAGTAACTAAAATAAAATAAAATAAACAAACAAACAAATAAATAAACAAACAAACAAATAAATAATAAATAAATACAATGTAGTTTCTCTTACTCTTTCCAATGTTGTGAACGGCTAAAGAAAGTCCCAGGAACTTTGACTTCGTATAAATTGATCCAGTGGCAAACATCCTTTTAGAAGGACACTCGGCATAAAAAGCAGAAACTAACAAATTAAAATAAAATTATAAAAATACACGTACATGTATTATCTAACGTTATGTCATTACTTGGCGGATGATGTGAAACTTGTTCAGCAAGAAAGGATACCGAGTTATTACCAGCGAAGGTGACTGGGCCGCTCTTCACTACCTTCCTCCTTTCCTCCAGCTGCTCTGGGCTCAGGGCCTCCTCTCCATCGGCGACTGGAAGGTCAAAGTAACAGCGAAATATCTCGCCTAATATGGGATTGTAAGGCTTCTTGGCAATAGTACCCTGTAAAGACAGAATGAAGTTATAATGAAAATTTTTTAAATTAATTTTTTTTAAATGCCCTGTATTATAGCCCATGCTTTTTCGGAAAAATGGCTCTGAAATCACCCCAAATTTTTATTACATTTTCTAATACGTATTGATGTCCTTATGCTGTGTAGAAAGTTTGAGCTGATTCCGACTTCAATTTTTTGAGTTATGGCCATTTTAAGAAAACGCCAAAAATCTGAAAAATACCCAAGGCTATAGCCCATGGTTTTTTCCAAAAAATGGCTCCAAAATCACCCCAAATTTTTATTACATTTTCTAATACGTATTGATGTCCTTATGCTATGCAAAAAGTTTGAGCTGATTCCGATTAACATTTTTCAAGTTATAACTAAACTAATAATTAATATACTGTTGATATATGCTACGTATGATAATAATTTTGAGTGGATTCCAGCTACGTGTTACAAGCCTCAGTAACAAGTAATGAATATCATTATAGTCCGACCCACGATAGCCTTGTAACGTTTCATGCATTTATAAAGAGACCAGTAAAGGTTGAAGGATATGTTTTTTATTGGGTTTTCAGGCTAACAATTTTTGAATGGGCAATTCACTACAATTGCCCTGTATTAATTAAATAATAATTATATTAATTAATTCAATTAATAACAGAATACCTTCCTAGCAGCATGGAAAGAGGACATGAAGTATCTCGTACATTCAATGATCCTCTCCTTTGGAGTGGAGTAATCATTAATACTGGAAGAGGGGAGAGAGGTCAAAGGTCAAATGTACAGTGTATAAGTGTAGGATTCAATATTACTATTGCTGTACTATTAATTAGAATATTCTAATATTACTATAAGTGTGCCATTAAATAGGATTGTTACTGCATAGTTCTCTACCTTGCGAATATGTCCGGGTGAGCCAGGAAGTCAGCATACATCTCCAGTAGAGATCTCTTCTCAAGTATAAAAGTTGGTAACGTCACACGGGACAGATCCATTCCAATCCTGACCTGACCAACCATGTACATGATCAAGCTCTTATTAGCGGCAACACCACCTGAGGGGCGGGGCAAAGGGGAGGGGTCAAATAAAGATGGAGGGAGTCGGTAATGATTAAGTATTAATTTTTAAAAATTGATAACTTACTGCTGGCGTCATCTCTCTCGTCATATTCTTGATCTTCGTCAATATCTAATGATAATAATAATAATAATAATAATAATAATAATAATAATAATAATAATTTATATTTTATTACCTGAAGGCACGCCCTCTGGCGTTGCCACGGATACAGAGGGTATCACCTCAGTCATAGACGGTTCATCTTCAGCGTCATAGAATTCATCACTGCTGCTGGAGACCTCTTCCTCCTCCTCTTCCGTGAGACAACGGTTAATGTTACTTTCATTGGCCACACCTTCATCATCCTCCCCCTCTATCAGACTAAAGGAACAAGGTACTGTACTTTAACAGGTGGAGTTTTAATTTTGTTTAATTTGAATTAAAACTGATGATCATTAATGCTCCTTATATTAAAACGGATCTGTACAGCAGTGTTAGTATCTTACCTTTCTCTGCTGCCATTTTGAGCTGATGTCTCTTCAAGTGATTTCCCTTCCTGCCCCTCCTCCCCCTCCCTCTCTCCCTCCCTTTGCTCAGTGCCAGCCGGAGCAAGGGCTATAGCACCAGGTGTCTGTTGCTATAGTAACGATATGAATAATGAGATCTGATTGGTCGACTATACATGTACATTTTACCTGGTCCTCCTTCATAAGGTCAAGACATTGTCTCATGGCAGCTAGCATATTCTAAAATAAATAAAGAAAATTATTAATATTGTATTTTAAATTGTATTTTTTAATTCAATATGTTTTTGATTTGTACCTTTGCTGTTTTCTCAATAACTTTTGATTCTTCAGAATCATTCATACTGTCAGAGAGGGACTGGAGAGAGGGAGAGGGGAAAGAGAGAGAGAGAGAGAGAGAGAGAGAGAGAGAGAGAGAGAGAGAGAGAGAGAGAGAGAGAGAGAGGAGGGGTAGTTTAAAATCAAAACTATACATCTCCTCTTATTCCAGTACCTTTATCTGCTCAGTGAGTAGATCATGATAGCTCTCACAGATCAACAACCTGTTCTCAACACTAAGGCTCCTCTTCACTGGTGGTAGACTCAACTCCAACTTCTACAAAGAAGACAAGGACAATGAAGGCATAGCCGGAGTAGTCTAGTACTACCCACACCTGTACACGTACACGTACACGTACACACGTCACTACACCAAGAGAGTACTCTGGAGTATATATACTACACTACTGCTGCTACACACAGTGAAATGGGAGGTTATTATTTGTGAAACTAGTACAATTACCTTTTGTTTATGTAAATATTTAAATAAGTATAATGTAAATATTTAGAAAATCAACAGAGAACAACTTAATAACATCAATAGTTATTAATAGTTATAACTAGTTATTAATAGTTATTATACCTGCAGCGGTTGCTTGAGACGGTCTATTGTCAGTTCCATTGATTTGATCCACCTCTCCCTCTCCTCCTCGTCTTGCGCTATAAAATAACGGAATAACAAAGACCACACCCTTTTATAATGAGCCACACCCACATACTGTACATTACTATACATTATGTAAGTGAATGTCATACCTTGAAAGTGGTAGGTGTGGCCCTCAGAATGAATGGTGAATGTGCAAATATCTTCATCATCGATCCCAACAATTGCCTTCTTCAAAGTTATACAGCCTCTTCTGCTTCCTTTGGACATCTTTTCTTTGCTCTGAAACAAAGACACTCAATTACTGATAGTTAGGAACCACTCTACCGTGTAATAAGAGAGCAGACCAGTAGACTGGTCTAAGACGAACCACCTGTACTGCCACCCGGAGACAACATTCGTCCATTTTGAGAGAGGACCCTCGACAAGAAGACCTGCCCTTCCTGACGCCATGACAGCTACACTGCCGTATTCACTGTATTCCCAATAATAAGAAAATGAAATTTTAAAACAGGTGTGGCTTGTTACAGAATTGAGCCCCGCCCAATTGTATGCGGGAGTTTCAAAACCTGCATTCAATCATGGCTGCTAATTCTTCGGAAGAAGAGCCCATTACTCCACAATACAAAGCTACAGAGCTAGTAAGAGTCTTTATATTTATTTTAAAACTTATCCTTGTTGCTAGTGGCAGAAAATAGTGGAGGATTTCAGGGCGGGAATGCCGGCAAAGAGACACAGGCAGAGAATGAAAGTGTTAGAAAACAGTTTCACGGGAACAGAAGCTGTTGAATGGCTGACAAAATACCTGCAGAACTCTCAGATGTTCCAGAGCGTCTCGAAAGAACAGGTTAGGGAATTAGATACTAAAATATCTAGAAAATTATGAACATTTGAAGTAGCTTACAATAAAAATACACTTTTTTATCACAGGCTACTACTTTGCTACAAAAGTTTTTGGAATGTGAAGTGATTGAGGATGCCAAAGGGAAGGAGAGAGACAAATTCAATGATGGCAGCTCTCTTTATCATTTCGTAACTCGTCCTGGACCACTCAACTTCCTTGGGTTTACCCCAACCAAGAGAAAGAGACAAGAGATTGAAGAGGAACAAAAAGAGGGGAGCTCATCTTCTGTATGTCTCGCTAATCCTTATGCAGCTGCTGCTGCTGGGGAAGATATAGGAGGAGAAGAGGGGGAAGTAGAAACTGAGATAGAAAGTATTTCAAGTATTTTATCGGTCAATTCAACATCACCAGTACTAAAAAGTGGGCCATTGACAGTAACTGAAGATGAGAAGCATAAAATATGGCAAGACATGACACTAACAAGGTAGAACTAGAGCCTTATAACAGTATATACTATACTGCTTTATATTTTAAACATAATCTCTCTCTCTCTCTCTTTTGACAGATTGCTAACAATACTACCATCTTTGGGCACACTGCCTGTGGTGGATGGAGGAATTATAGCAAGCAATTGTGATAAAGAAAAGAGAGGAGGAGGTAAAGAAACTTATTAATAATGGAGGCATTTGTCACATTAACACTGTCTATGGATCACTATAGAGAGGAGTACAATTGAAGACATACCTGCTTGGATCATAATGGCTTTCAAGTGCCTATCAAAATGTAACTGCTAGACAATCATTCATGCACTGGACAATAGCTATTTTAACTTTCTATGCAGCATAATCTATAATACAACTATGATACTTGTAGTGTTGTTCTAGTTCTAAATTTCTATTTTAGTTCTCATACTTGCATAAGTATATTATTTCTGCACTATTACTGCATTATCTGACACTATAGGGCCTACAGGATCTGCAGAAGATGTTACAGGTGGTCTACCTATCTATCATGGTTTTGAGCAAGATGTCTTCCAAGCTATAAGTAACTACTTCACTCAACAGCTTCAGCAACCACTCATTCCTCAGGCACTCTATGAGCTGATCCTGACCTCAATACATCCACTGATTGCTAGAAAGGACAGTACAGCTACTGATGCACTCCAGCTAATATCTTTAATGATTGAGCCAAGTTTAAGATTAAAACTGCACAGACTGTTGAGGTTTATAAGCAAAGCCAGTAATAATGAACAACTGAAGCTGTCACTGAGAATCAGCAATAGAGAATTGGTAAGAAGATTTGCATCATTTTTGGTATATGCTTTCCATTTTCTCATTTCAGATGCTTGAAAGGTTTTCTCTAGCCATTCTTAGACCCAGCGGTCGCTCCGTTGTACCAGTAGACCAGCGTCAAAAGATAAAGCAGATCACTGGTCACATGGCTGACCATTATCACACCATATTCCGCCTGCCGTCAGAATTACTGAGAGACGTCCAGCGAGAATTGGAAGAGCTGCATGCAAGGAAAATCTCACCTCAATATTGCCAGAGGGTGAGCTTTGATGAATATGAGAGACAAAAGAACAGCACTCCTGTTGATCACCTGCAGGAGCTGCTTGACAGCATTGCTCATGATGAGAATGTATCAGCAAAAATAAGGAAACAAAGACTCAAGCAAGTAAGAAATACCTTCTATGTACTTTGTACAACTTCTATTATAATTTGTGGTTTAATTGTTGCTGTATGTTTTTCTTTATAGTTTAAGCTGAATTATCCTGATATATATTTTCGAAAATTCCCTCCACATTCGTCTCACGAAGGAGGAGGGAGAGAGAGAGAAAGAAGACTCCACAGAATATCAAACTATATTTAATTTAATGTCAGAAAGCTATAGACAAAATACTCTCTCCATGTAATGGACAATTGTAACATAACATATATATTGTATTCAGAGTAGATTAGGTACATTGACATAATAATTAACTTTCTTTTCTGCTAACACAATAATTGCGATTTAAAATATAATTTTAGTGAATTGATTCAATTCACAACACAGCTGCTCACAATATTTAAATTTGATTGGTCGTATGCCACGAGGGACCAATTGGTTTATACATATATAAAGAGGACACCATTATTTGTGATGATCAAAAATTAAAAAAAATAGTCAGTTAAATACTATCTATCCTTCTTCTTTTCTTTTTTAATCGGTACAACATTATGAGGTTTGAATTTGCTGTAAATTAAAGTACACACAAGATAAAAAATATAATAAAAGTAGGCGTGGCTCACCTATATGCTGAAAAGGGCACGCCTACTACGAGGATTTGGTTTTTCTTGAGCCAAATTCTCCAGAGTCCTTTATGAAACCCTCTGGCGTCAAGATCCCATAGCTTGAAGCACTGGAAGGATTGGACATTTAAAAGCTACGTATACAAGGTTTGGTTACTTTAGCTAAGTACATCCAAGTGTCATAATCATTCCTCTTTATCATTGACATGTACATCACGTAGACCTTACCCTGTCATTAATAACCATTAATAACTATTAATAACCAGTTTAATAACTAGCCTCAGTGTCGGGTACAAAGTCTTTCTTGCAGGGATCCTTTGAATGATCCAGAGGTATGGCTGATCTGAAGGAGAGAGATAGATTCAAATTCATTAGCACTCTCTCTCTCTCACTCCATTAATTTCTTCACATCTTCCTCATAATTGTCTTTCTTTAATCTACATTAACATGAACAAGAATTATCAAGAGACCACGGGTTAGCATTACAAGTATTAACCTGTTCACATTTCTCAACACAACATTCTCCAGTGTATTAATAGCATGTTTCTGAAAATAAGTTGTCTAAAAATAGAACACATTAATAAATATACATGTACATACATTAATACATTAGTATATGCATACCTGGAAGTATGGATTCATGTTTAGACCCGAAGCTCCGAAATGATAGGTCCTTGATACATCAGGTATCACGCACTCTCTAATGAATAATTAATTAATTAATTGGGTGGGCATGGCTACCTGTCTTTTCTTATAAAGTCGGTTCTCATCCACATGTCCCAGTCCCATAACTAATGGAGGTGTGGCATTATAGTTAATTAATAGTTATTAATTTTATAGCATACCTTGTCAGGGGACGGCCATTGTGGCTCCAACTCTTCCTTGAATAATTTACGACTTAACAACCTTAACAGAAAAATGACTTCTAGAGCAACTTCAAAAATTCATAAAAAATCCAATTTTAATCGGAATCAGCTCAAACTTTCTACGCACCATAAGAACTTGTATATGTATCAGAAAATATCATAAAAATGGAGAATTCTCTACTTTTCAATTTTGGTGAAATTCGGCCAAAGTTCCTGTACTATAGTACAGGGACTTTTACCCAATTTTTGAGGAATTTAAAAAATTCATAAAAAATCTAATTTTGATTGGAACCAGCTCTAACTTTCTACACAACATAAGTACATGTATATGTATCAAAAAATGCTATAAAAATCGAGAATTCTCTACTTTTCATTTTTGGCAAAATTTGGCCTGAGACCATGTACTATAGTACAGGGACTTTGGCCCAATTTTGGAGCAACTTTTAAAATTTGTAAAAAATCCAAATTTGATCAGAACCAGCTCAAACTTTCTACGCAACATAAGTACATGTATATGTATCAGGAAATGTAATAAAAATGGAGAATTCTCTTCTTTTCATTTTTGGCAAAATTTGGCCTGAGACCATGTACTATAGTACAGGGACTTTTTCACAAATTCCCCGAATCTACTCAAACACAACATAAGTACATGTACATGTACTTACCATCCCAGTCCAGGCATTGTCTCTATCCGGTAGAGCATGGCAGGATCATTGCATGAGTGAACATATCCCTGATCATTCCAGGCAGATATACAGTATAAAGAAGGGTCCTCTTCTAGCAGGTGTTTAGTCTCACTAAAGTACCTAGAGGAGGAGAGAAAGAGGAGGAGAATGAGAGAGAGGGAGAGAGAGAAGAGCTTACATGAAGAAGTCTGGAGCAACATCCAAATCTTCTTCCAAAATTATAGTAAACTTGGCCTCCTACAAAAATAACAAAAACTCAACACATCCCTCCCCTAGCCCCGCCCCTACTGGGTGTGTCTCAAAAGTCTTCATCAATGAAGCCTTATAATGCTGGGCGATTCGTCCATTCTTTTGACTGATCGGCTCATGATGAAAGTACCTCACTCCGAATAATATAGCAACGTCGGCAGGTTCCTGATAAAACCCATCAATGTATACGTTAGTCAGTGAGGCATTGGATCCTGGTGTTGCTAGCAAGGTATTGAGCATACGGTAGAGGTACTGTGGTCGATTACTAGCTATAATGGTCACTGGTAGGTTGGCAACTTCATTACCAGCCTAGAGGAGGAAAATAAATAATAAAATAGGTTTACTATTATCACTATTATTATCACTATTATTATCACTATTATTATTATTATTATTATTATTATTATTATTATTATTATTATTATTATTACCAGTGGTACTCCTTCACTAATTGAAGAAGGTTTCGAGCAGTGACACAAGTCTTTGTATCCCTCGTACTTTGAACAAAAGACACGCCTCCTTTTATTAGCAGGAGTGTCAGGCCACATACACTTAATTGCTAGTTTAAAAAATAATAATAAATAAATAAATAAATAATAATAATACAGTTCTTACAGTGGGTTCCCTCTCCGTTAAAGACAGGTACGTTCACATGCATGTTCAGCTGTGGTCCCCAAGTACCCAATGAATCACTCCGGCCAATGTCCTCAGCCAGTGTCCTATCGCCTTTTATTGTTACAAAGCCCCATGTGTACCTCCATTTTAATGATTCTATGGGATTGGTGGGTGTGGTTATTAATGGTTATTGACCACACCCATCACTTACTGACTAATCTACTTCCTAGTTTCTCTATTGCGTCTTTAGCTTGATCCTTTAAAGAAAATGTACCTTCGTCCTAAAATATCAATAATATCAGTATCAATATCAGCATCAATATCAGTATCAATATCAGTATTAATATCAATATCAGTGTCAACTTACTAATATTGTGAAACAGACTATTCTGCCATTAGCCAGTGATTCAAGGAAGGCGGGTAAATTATCGTCACCACCTGGTATGTATGTATCAAATACCCTTGAAGCCATCACAGAACCCTATACATGTACATGTACATTAATTAATATTTATAATAATATTTATAATAATAATAATAATAATAATAATAAATAATAATAATCTCTAACTCACTGTCATCTCATTCAACACTACGATATGCATCCCTCTCTTAGCTTCAGCAGTATACACCTGCAACAACACAGCAATGCTTATTTAATTTTAAAATTAAACATTTATTTATTTATAATTTAAACATGGTTGCCATTATTAATCCTTTCTCCCCAGACACTCACTGATTCTCCATCTACAGAGATTAGAGCCATCTCACGACTTGAAACTAGTTTTATCGTTATGTATTTAGAAGGTCCCTCGTGTACTAGCTTTATTGGTACTTCTATTAAAATTTAAAAAATACACAATGATTATTTCCTCTATTTACTGGAGCTGTGATGAAGGGTGAGGTCTATGATGAAGATGATGTTCAGTAGGAACATTAACACGACGAATCCAATCCATATAGTTTGCTATATAAGGAAATACAAAGACATAACAATAAAAGAGACTGGAGCTTACTGTACATCTCATTCTCGCCATTTTGTTTTAAGCATACGAAACCACGCCTTTTATTACTTTTAATTAATAATAGTCTAATTATTATTATTAATTTTTAATTATCGCCTCGGACATTATTGCTGCCAAAATTTGTTGGCTCAAGCTCAGGTGCGCTGGTTGGCATTGTTAGTTGTTCTGTTTTATGGTCATTGACTGTTAGATAACAAAATAAATTTCCACCTTTACGGGGAGAGAACAGGACGACATTCACTGCAGGTCAGCCCTTTATGGTGAAGTTATAAAGTGCTGTAATAATAGAAATTCAGCATCTAAAGTTTTTTTGCCGAGCTCTTTTTTTGTTTCAGGGACCATTTAATTTATTGTTTTGTCATTGATCATTGCTACAGAACTTAACAAAAGAAGTTCCAGCCAGTTCCACCTAGACAGGAACAAGTTGAAGCACCGTCACTGACTTGCACTGACTTCATATTTATATATAGTCTGGTCTTGATACTGGTTAGTTGAAATAGATCTAAAAGTAATATATATACAATATAATTTTATGACAAGTTGACAAATAGACTATTATAGACTAGTCTACAGTATGATTTGTTTTTATTCACTGTAGGTCTAGCTTTCTTGTCATTATCGTACAGCCATTAATAAATCAGAATAATTATGCCTCGTCATTCATATGACTACTATGATGGGATGTCTCTACTTATATATGTTGTCTTTCTGGTATTTTTTCTGATACTTTTATTTACAGTATTGATTTCGCCAAGATGCAAAAGGTGCTATAATACTAAAATTTGGGCATATTTAGTATCAAAAGTTTTTTTGAGTTTATTTTTTGTTTCCGTGACTATTACCTTAGCTCAGATATTGTTTGGATTTCGAGCAGTCAAACAGAAAAGAAGAGATCCTTCCATTATAGTCATCAATGGAAGGTACTACAAACTCAATGGTTTCACTTTAGGAACAATTGCATACTACAACTGCATCACAATTTACACAATTATCTATGTTTTTCTGCAGTTTATAATTCGCAAAACACCTTGGTCAGTTGAAGATTGCAATTCTGGTGCTGACTGCTTTTATTTAAATTATTCTGCAATACTATCATATAGTCGAGAAGACCCGCCTGGCATACCTATTGAAAACTGCACACTTGAAAGTAATTATGATGAAAAGGACGTCATTTGCTATTCAATTGGTTTTCATCCGGCTGTGGGGATTGCTCTGCTTGGAGGCTTTATCAATATAGTGACTCCTCTTCTGTTTGCTTTTTATGTTGGAATGCAGGTAAAGCTTTTTGGGAAAATAATCAAGAAAATGCATGATGATGAAATGAAGGGAAAATCTAATCATTACAGACGTTACTCTTATAAATTCCGGTGTAAACTTTTGAAAATCATGCTGTTTTACTCGCTATTTCTCAATATAATTTTATGCGCATTCATAACTTTTGTTATACTTGTGTATCTTAATTATGAAACTCCCAAGGATCACCAGAGCTCTTTTGAAAAGATGTTTTCATCTGAATCATTTGTTGGTCAATCAATTGCATTCTGTATTGTTAACTTTGCTTTCTGTATGTATCCAGTTATGCTTATTGAGCGATATCCAGCAACCCAGGATAATAATGAACATGAACATGATGATGACAATGATGCTATAAACCAGAACGAAGCTGCTAATTTTGCAAGAGGAAGTTCATCAAGAAGAGGTGCATCAAGAGGAGGTTCATCAAGAGGAGGTGCATCAAGAGGAGGTTCATCTAGAGGAGGTGCATCAAGAGGAGGTTCATCAAGAGGAGGTTCATCAAGAGGAGGTTTATCAAGAGGAGGTTCATCAAGAGGAGGTTCATCAAGAGGAGGTTCATCAAGAGGAGGTTCATCAAGAGGAGGTGCATCAAGGTCCAATTGTTCTTACAGCACTGCTTAATTCTGATGCTCAATGAGTTAATGCCCAGTGTTATGCTCTATATAGAAACATTAACTTTATTTATATAGAAACATTAACTTTATTTATATAGAAACATTAACTTTATTTATATGAGCATTTTACTTATAAGGAACATTAAAAAGTTATAAAGTGTTATTAACTTTTAATAATTAAATTCTAACTACGCCCACTAACAGCTCAACTGAACTCCTCCGGTTCCCACTGACAACTAATCGCTGCAACTAATAGACTGACAGCAGAGACTCCCTCGAGTGCTCCTACATAGGCTGCAAGGCACACTAAAAGGTCAATATTATACTAAAATGTCACATCATTTATATAGCTATTATAATAACCTTACTCCTGTTGCATTTCTTGTCTTTCTTGGAGTTTTGGTGATATCTTTTTTTATTTTGTTTTTATTGATTGCTTATTGTTATACAGCTAAATCTAGTGTTGGGACATTTTTAGTATCAAAAGTTTTCTTGAGCCCATTTTTTGTTTCAGCGACCATTACAGTTGCTCAGATATTGTTTGGATTTCGGGCAGTCAAACAGAAAAGAAGAGATCCTTCCATTATAGTCATCAATGGAAGACACTACAAGCTCAATGGTGTCACTTTGGGATCAATCGTGTACTACAACTTTATCACAATTTATATCATTACCTATGTTTCTTTGCAGTTTATGATCCGCAACACACCTTGGTCAGCTGAAGATTGTAATTCTGGTGCTGACTGCTTTTATTTAAATTATTCTGCAATACCATCATATAGTCGAGAAAGCCCTCCTGGCATACCTATAGAAAACTGCACTCTTGAAAATGATTATGATGAAAAGGACGTCACTTGCTATATAATCGGTTTTCATCCGGCTGTGGGGATTGCACTGCTTGGAGGTTTTATCAATATAGTGACTCCTCTTTTGTTCGCTTTTTATGTTAGTATACAAGTAAAGATTTTCTGGAAAGTATACAAGAAATTTCGTGATGATAAAATTAAGGGAAAATTTAAATACTGGTGTAGATTTAGAATACTAAGAATAGTACTGTGCTATGTGCTATTTGTTTTTATAATTTCATCTTTACCAATGGCCTTTGTTGCTCTTGTGTATTTTAATTACGAGACTCCAAGAGATCGCCAGAACTCTTTTGAGAAACTTTTTTCATCTGAATCATTTCTAGGTCAATCAATTGCATTTTGTTTTGCAAGTTCCGCCTTTCTTGTCTTTCCAGTGATGCATATTGAAAAGTATAGCATTGATACAACTGAGAATAATAATATCAACGAAGATGACGATGATTATTATTATGGTGAAAATGAAAACAGGAATGAAACTGTTAATTTTGCAAGAGATGCACCAAGAAGAGGTTCATCAGGACAAGGTGCATTAAGGCCCAGTCGTTCTTATGGCACTTCTTAATTATGACTATGATCTGCTATGACCTAACTAAAGTGTGGTTTATAACTAAAAGTTATATTATTTTAATATTAAGTTAATTTAGTTAAAAGTTATAACTTTTATATTAAAAAAATAATAAACATTAAATTTTATATTATTAATAAAGTTATATTAAAACTCCTCCCACATAAAGATGTCCTCCATTCCTCTGTTCGATGGAGATCATAAACCAAAGAGGAACGTCTCTCTTGGCGGCGCCAGTAGACAGGTAAGAGTTCCCCTACTCACGTGATAGTCACGTGATCAATCTTTTAGAGTGAAACTGCCAGTAATCTCCTGCTAAAGGTCCACCAGCAGAGAGAAGCAAGAGAAGTAGGAAAATATAAAATAAAATAAATTAAAAAAATATTTTAGTTAGTACGTAAGAGAAATCAAGCAGCTGTGAAACTGCAGTCTTTTGTTAGAGGGGCAATAATTAGAAAAAGAATTGTAAGTATTATAATGTACATACATGAAAATAAATAATTTCTATTTAATTCTCACCAGTATCGTCAGTTAAGATCTGCATTCGACCAGTCAATCAATAAATGTTCTGACCACACCCTTTTAATTGAATTAATGAGCTCTCATCTATTGGTGTTTTATAATGAGAGAAAGGACCACAGCAGACTAGTAATTAAAATATTTATTATTATTATTATTATTATTATTATTATTATTATTATTATTATTATTATTATTATTAATAGGTTCTCGTATGTCAGAAATGGATCCAATTAAAGGTTCCAATCTTAAACGAGTTATCCTCAATAGCTAGTCCAGTTCATCACATCTTATATCGTCTGTTGGTTCTTTGTTTAACGTCCTTGAGGGGGAACCCCCACCAACCCTTGGCCCCACCCCTTAGACTATTAGAAGTGTTTACATTCAATCAACCACACACTCCCCCTCTATTGGGAAAATTAATAAAACAAAGTAATAATATTATTGTATTTATTGTAATTAAATATATTTTTAGAGTATTTGTACACTTTTCGTTTCTTGCTTGAAACAAGAGCCCCGCCCCCTGAGGCTGAGGGGTGTGGCCTTGTTCCTCTCTCGTCCGAAATATTGAAATTCATAGAAAGAAGTATCAATGAAAAGTAGGAAAACAATTAATAATAATAATAAATGAATTTTATATAATTTACAGTTTTATATCTTATATACTCCATGAATTATTATCGTCGTCATTATCTCCACATTTATTTTATCTCATTCTTCCGCTCCTGGCGAGACCACACCCATTTTTACCGTTGCTAATGGCAACAGCGCTAAAGGAAGTTAGAGAGGGTCGGCTGATTGCTTCTCCTACTCTTTGCTATTGTCTAATGGAACTGAACAAATGGAACTGTGAGTGAAGATATACATAACTACAATGTACGTGTACATTTACATGTACTATTAACATACAACAGATATTGTATGTTGTATTGTATTGCTCGTCTGTTGTCACTATTAATTACCGTACACGCCTTAATTTTTGTGGTGTATTAAATTTCATTATTTTCGTGCTCACCTTAAATCCAGGAAATTTAAACCACCTCTAATGCCATTCTATTATATGTAGACTATGGCCAGAACAAGAAAATTAGCTAACACGAATATTAACTTTTGAGCACATTTCATTGAAAACATGAAATTTCAAACACTTGAAAATTTGAACGTATAGGGTATACTATTATACATGTATTATATGTACATGTACATTTCTCTCTCTCTCTCTCTCTCTCTCTCTCAGTTGGTAGTGCTGGAGTACTGATGGATACTCTTAGTTTGTTGTCAAAGATGTTTGAAGTTTATCAGTTTAACAATATTAATAAAGAAAGGATTATAATGGAGGATGAAGAAATGGAAGAAATAGTAGAGCAGGATATGGTAAGAAATAAATATTGTCATTATTTATATTTATTTATTTGTTTGTTTATTTATTTTATTTATTTATTTATTTATTATTTAGGACACTGATCCATTATCTGGCAGTGACCAATCAATAGTTAATTCAATATTAACTGAGCTTAATAAAGGATCATTCATTAACCCTTTACTACCAATCAAAAAGTAATCAATATTCATAGATATTGACCACACCCACCCATTAATAACTAGCCACACCCCTTTAGGGACATCTCTCCAGATATATTAAAAGGATTATGTTCAATCAGTTATCACGTGATAACGAATACACCAGCTGCTAAGTTACGATACTACTCTCACCTTCTCTCCTCCCTCTCTCTCTCCTCTCACTTTCTACGCCAAATATGGCAGTACGTGACCTCTTTATCCCTTGAGAGGTCATTCGGTCCACCAATCAAATGTCTCGATTATCTCTCACATGGTATGAGGCTACCGGCAGCAGTGGGCGTGGTCATACTAGAACAGATGACGGTATTCTCGTGTCTATTCTCAATATCTCTCTCGTCTCTTCATGATACTGAAGTGGATTCTAAAGGTCCTTTTAATTTGAAGGAGTTAGCCAGTGTCTCCTTAATTCTAAAAGATTTATTCATAGTACTCCATCTTGAGAATCATCTTGATAAAACCGGGCTAGCTTCGGACTCCAGACCACGCCCATTTGAATGGACTTTCCTTGCCAATGTGAGAGAATGGATATTAAAATAATATTCAAATTATATTTCTTTATTTTCTGTTAGTTATTGTGTAGTTTATTGAAGGAGTTACACAGTCGTGATGTAAGGCTGGGTTTTCTAACGCCCGATAGGTGGGCATCCGTTTCCCTTCCCAGTAAAGTACCTCCAGAATTATTTCTCTTTAACGAAGAGGGTTAGTTTAATTAGAAATGAAGTCAAAAATTAGCTATTGTGTGATGTAAAATTTTATAAAATTTTGATGTGGTTATGTGTTAAATTTTTTATTGTTTGTAGATGAGGAGAGTTCAAAAATAAAGATGATCACATCTCCTACTACACTGAAATACGCTGAGTTGCTTAAGAGAGCTCCTTTTGTCTTTCCTTTTGTAGAGAGGTTTATAGTAAGGATTTAAAAATAGAAAATTTAAAAAATGATAATAAAATAAAATGTAAAAAATACAAATAAAAATGTAGAAAGTGTACCACTTTTTATTGAATCAAAATCTTGCCAAAGATGGTCAATATTGATTAACATTTTTGCTGCAATAATTGTAAAAATTATAAATATTTAATTATCAAATTTATCCAAAATACATGTAGTACATTTATCATTATTATAAAGTACAGTTACTGCTCTCTCTCTTTCTCTTTCTCTCTCTCTTAGTTCCTTCACAAGCTACTCAAGAGTAACCGTCAATCGGCTCAAGGCTTCCTACAGGAGTTTCTCATGGGCCCTTCAATAAGTATAGCCGCCAGAAGGACTCATCTTTATGAAGACGCCTTCTCTAAACTCAGCGGAAGAGGTGGAGTCTTTATAAACGTATTTCTATTATTCTATTTTTGTATTTTTAGATCTTCGGTATAGGATACTTGTTACTCTAATTAATGCCCAGGGTCTGGATGAAGCTGGTATAGACGGAGGTGGCTTGTTTCGTGAGTTTTTATCAGAGACCATAAAGACTGGGTATAATCCTAACAGAGGGTTCTTTGTATCGTCAGACAGTGCCACACTCTATCCTAACCCACTGGCTCATCTCATCAGTGATGAGTACCCATTGCACTATCAGTTCTTAGGGGGTTTACTGGGGAAGGTTAGGATATTA